ATATTCCTTTTAGATCTAAAATCTCCTTGAAAGATCTTCTGCTCATTCTGTTAATTTTAAAACTTTTCTTTATAGTGAGATATAAAACAATGAAACTATTTTAGTGGAGGAGAAAACATGTTTTAACATCTGGTTTTGATGTCAAATAAAAATACTCCAAAAGTCTACATCGTTCTCAGTCCAATAGCTGAGCAATAAGTATAATTGAAAAAAATTGCTCTCCTTTGTATTTTGTGGTCTTGTCTAAAACAAAGAAACATCATAGTGATTTAGGAAATTTTAAATTTTAAATTATAAAATTACTTTAAATTATAGTGTATTTTCCTAATCAGTTTCTTTAACAATGATCTAAGTAATTGTAGTTTTAAAAATAAATTTGCTATATTTTACCATATTTCCCCTCTGTTCAACTCATGTTCCATGATGTTATCAGCATAAGCACAGATCTCCTAGACTACTTGGCTGGTTCCACAACTATTTTAATGATGCTAAGGGAAAAGGGAGTGGGTTACCAGAGAGAATGCTTTGGTTTTAACTAACATTTTACCCAGTGCAATGGGGCAAAAATGTGGGAAAATGCAGAAAGTACATAAACTTTGAATAAAGATGTCCAGTTTTGAAAGCTTTTTTTCTTAGATATGTTAAGAACCTAAATCAAAAAGATATTAAGTCCCCTTTATTTTAACTTAGCTAGAACACCTTTACACATTCTTGACCCTATCCCTGTTCTTACGTAATTCTTCAGAGTATTTATAAACAGCACACACCACACAAAGTAACCATTGTTTCAAGAACCAGCTTGTATCAGATTATTATACAGGGTCCAGCACAAATAATGCCCCCTTTTATTACAAAATGTTTTATTACGAAGTCATAAGCATGTAATTCTATAATATAACAATATCACACTCAAGCACACCATATGACATTTTAGGTAAAATGTTCAAATTAAAACTATAAATTATTACACCCATGTTATTAGCCTACCAACCACACTCAAGAAGGCCTTACTTCTGCCGGACCCCTATATGTGTTTGCTTCATTACTCATTTTTTAATGTCACCTAAAATCTAGTATCTGAATGATGGAGGCAAGAAAGAGCATTTCAGTTCAAAGCTGCCACAACCCCACCATGGCTAAATGAAGGTAGGAAAATGTAGCTTTTATATATCCAGATATTTTATATATCTTAGAACTAGAATAATAATGGGGAAAAAGAAATTATTGACAGTTATTGGGAGAAATACACTTTTATAGCTTCAAATGTATTTTCAGTTCTCTAGAGAACACTGCCACCTGGTAAAAATGGGAGAAAAGCCCTCACAAAAAGGGGATTTCAAAGTGGAAAGATGGTAAATTCTTTCAAATTTGAAGGTTTTTTAAATAAACTTTTTATTCTGGAACGGTTTTAAAAAATTTTAAAGCAAAAATATTGAGTTCCCATATGCACCATACTCAATTTTCCCTATTATTAACATTTTATATTAGTATGTTACATTTGTCACAGTTGATGAACTTTAGTAATTGATGCATTATTATTTGGACCTAAAGTCCAAATTTTATTCAGATATCCTTAGTTTTTCTCTGTCCTTTTTCTGTTCCCGAATATAACATTACTTTTAACCATCACATCTCCTTAGGCTGTGGATTTCTTAAGACTTTCTCTATGTGGACCTTGAGAGTTTAGAGGAGTACTGGTAAGATATTTTGTTGAATGTCCCTTATTTTTTCTTGGTTAGACTGGGGTTATGATTTTGGCAGCATCATACCAAGGGTACATACCATCAACATGACTTATCCACTTTATCAACTGCAGTTCCTTTTGCCTTTAGCTTTACAGACTCCACACGGTTCCAAAGTTATTTAGGTCAGCATCTTCTCCCCCTTGAGTGAGGTTGGCTCACATATTTTAATGGATCTTTAACATATATCCACAAATGCAGGTTGTTGCTCTAGGCTCATCTTATATACTTCCTGCTCCAATCCTAGCTATTTCTCCAAGAATCCCTGGTTTGTTTATTGGAAAATGGTATTAGAAACCAAGATCTGGGCACTAGAGTGTGCTTACTTCTAAACCCTTTCAGCTGACATGCAAGGAAAGATATGTGTGTATGCTAACCCTTGGAAACACCATGTCTGTTAATTATTCCTTTGCAAAAACATCCATATCTACATTAAGCTAATGTGAGTTCACAGTAACATCTCCAGTTCTAATGCATTACCACATGGATTTTTCTAGCCTCTTCCTTTTCCTCATCTATACACTTCAACAGTGAGAAGGCTGACTCTGATCATCTGCCATTCATTTCCTTAACTGTTCAATTCCAGGTCTAGTGATACCAAAATTGTTAACCTGTATGCCCATGGGAAACAACTTTCTCAACTGAAGTATATTTCCTTTTGCCTTTAGCTTTATAGACTCCACATGTTTCCAAAGTTATTTAGGTTGGCATCTTTTTCCCCTATCCCTTCAGTGAGGTCATTTCACATATTTTAATGTAATTAATTTTGTCACATTTTGTATTCCATCCTGGGTTCCTCTGTCCTGCAAAATTATTTATTTATATAATAAACAATATGTTTTACTTTCAAAAAGCGGTACGGCAAGGATAGAAGGGGAGAAGCCATTGATGAAACTTGAAAGGAAAAAAACCAATATAGAGATACTTGAGTTTATGTCTAATATCAGCTTAAAATAAAAACCTATTGAAAGCTAACATAATGCATTAATTTTTTTAAATGCACTGAAATCTTTGTATACAGTAAGGGACATGGTAAAGATCAAATGTAAGAAATGTAGCTCTCTTGCACAATTAGACATGGATTTTTCTAGGAGCTTCCAGTAACTTAATTCAATTTTCCCACCTCTAAAATGAGAATGAAAAGTTTCTTGACCAGGACTAAAAATTTATGGTAGGTATACTGACAGTACTCTGCATTTAGGGGTAAAAAATGTAACAACTATTTAAGTTTTAATTGGAGGAAATAAGCTCTACCCAGTTATATTTTTCACATGATTGTAAAATTTTATATTTTCACACAACTATATTCATAAAGCATTGTAACCCTGATAATTACTATTCACTCATATCACTAAGGAATTATTCCTGTCTAGCAATTTGGGATCCTTGGTCATTTTAAAATCCTTAAAAGTACTCAGACAGTTACCAATATATATCTAGGTTCATTCTTAAGCATGTGAGAGAGTTTACAAAGATTGGTGGCGATTCACAGAAGATAATCTTAAATAAAATCTCCTTCCAAAGGGGGAGAAAAAACCATCTCTTGATGATTAAAAAACCATTTATTACCCTTGTATGACTGCATAAATGACATTTCTTTACTAACATATAACCACAAATTTCTAAGGATAGTTTAAACTCTTATGATTATGTGTTTTACTGAATTATTAGAAAAGGAGACATCAAGAATAAATTCACCAAGTCAGCCTTTGCTGGAGCAAACTGTGCCCAAGAACCTCTTTGGTTTCTTTATGGAAATCATCATTAATCCATTCCTGCTCAATGCTTTACATGTAATGCAATTCACAAGTCTACTCTCTTTCTTTGTAGTAAGCACTGAGAAGAAAGACATGTCTGAGGCTATTAATGAGTATTTCTTCCAAATATTGTGAATAGTTTCTTCTTCCTCATTATTCAATTCAAAAGTTAAATGTCTGTGAATATAAAAACTATAATTTCCTAGTTAAGTATTCAGAGACAGTATAGTTAAATCTTATCAAAAATTCCATCTTTAATAATCTCAAAACAGAACTTTGAGGTTACAATAAGAACACCTGTTTCTTTCCCTTCCTGGTCTCCCAAAAATATCCAATGAGTTATTCTATAAATAAACCACTATGCTTTTGTACTGACGTAAGTTTGTATCAACCTTGCAATTTCCCAAACTCAGGCTCTAGCAGAAATAAGACAGGAAGTGAACTCATTCCAAGTGGGGCCAGAGACCAGAGTAGGAGGTAAGATTAGAGGCAAGAAACAGGATAATTAGAGCTCAAAGTCAAAGTGACATTTTAAGAAAATCTAAAAGGTTTTGGGGAGGTGGGTTGGGGAAAGGTATAAGCAGTTTACCAAGACCACTGTCTCCATTAAGGGAGTCCAATGCTACATAAGAAGATGCTCAAAACAAGCTCACAGAGATTGATGTTCCTCTGGCCTCTGCAATATTTACCATACTGATTTATAGTACAATAGCACAAAGAAACTGGTACAATAATGAGGGATCAATAAAGTTTGATTTAAAAATTGTCAAATTCTAAAAATCCTGAACAATTATTGGAGGAAAGGCAAGAAGAAAAGAACAAATTGCTCCCTAAGTGTATCACCCTGGAAATCAATGCCTCATCAGTTCCTTCTCCTCACACTAAAAACCAGGAATCCCCCTGGTATAGTATCAACAGGGCTGTCACACTCCTCACACTCAGACATTTCAAAGGCTTTGGAGGTTCACATTATATAACAATAGACAAAGTCCAGGGAAACATAGTTGCCAAGAGATAGGACAGTAAGAAAATCACAAAGTAGAGATGGCTTTATCTGGAAGCACTCTGCCAAGCTTCACACCAATCCAACTTGGCAGCAGTCTACTCCCTCAGAGGGAATGCAAAGGAACTTTGAGAAAGTATTTACTCAGAGACACATGTCGTTGCCATCTCTGCTGGAAGTCACCAGCAGAGATCTTAACAGAGAGCTAGGCTCAGGATTTAATCATTAGGCTTGCTTTTCAATCTCCAAACTCAGAAATACAGGAGCTTAATAAAGTAATCTTTTCATTCTGACTTAAGGGAAGTAATTCTATTAAGAGTTGAGCATGCTTGGGAATTTACCTGCTTCACTATGAGTCTAAAGAGTTGAGGTTGGATGGGTATCCACAGAATGTAGAGGAGTTTCTTTGCAGGGTTGGTCCCCTGTCTGAGAACATTCCTGCAAAGGCTCATCTCCCAGTGTATTAATTAAATCAACAGAAAGGGCTGCAATACCTACCTGCCACTCTGGTCTGAGGTCCATGTAACTGATCTCCCCTGGGGTTTGGTTCTGTACCATATCCTTATGGCGTGAGGAAAGTCAGTAGCTGTTTGAGCCCCTGTCTTCCTGATCTGTAAGCTCCAACTGTCAGTGTCAAACAGGAGTTCCCCACAGCCAGGAGCCTGGCTGCAGCAAGCATAATAGTCTAACTGCTCCCTCCAACGATCTGCAGGCAGAGTCACAAGTTCATGTACAATCTGATTCCTGAGCTCAGAAACAACACTGAGCTTGGGAGACCTTGTAAATTTTTCAATACCTGGCACAGCAGCAACATCCACCTCCTCAACCTTTAACACAGATAAATCACAGCAGTCCAACACTAGCAAAAAATCCTCACTCCCATGAATCCCTGTGTCACAGCAGTACTTTGAGCTAGAAATCCCAGAAGCCTGTCCCCCGTTGTCATGGTTACCATCTTTACCAGGAGTCTTTTTTTCACCTTTACCACAGATTGCAAAATCATTGTATCTCATTTTAGATGAGAAGGTCCTTGTATTTGTCACAGGTACATGGCAAGGTTCTGGCATCCTAAATTTGCAGGCTTCATTTGACTCTGATCGGCAGGTTTCCTCAGTGGAACTACTCTTTTTCCTGTATCTGTTTCCAGGCTGAAAGAAAAGCACTAAGGTACCCTCAATGATTTGACTTTTGAAATCCACATCTAAGTCCAGTACATAGTGCTTCACAAGTATGTGGCTGGTGTTGGCCATGAGAGGCAGGTCATCCTGAGGCAGCTCCAGTTTTATGTCCATGGTATAGGTTGTTGAGAGCTTTGTTAAACTCTCAGAAGGGCCTTCCTATCTACCTTAATCATCTGGAATCATAATGACTGCCTACAAAAAACACCCAACTTTGATGTCAAGAATCATGGTTCCACAACTTTCAGTCCCCTGGCAAAGAAGAAAAAAAGAAACACAATTAGACAAAATTCTAAGACCCTAAATGCTCCTGCAGCCACTGCTCCTGCAAGTTGACTACCTTCTTAAATGTGGTAGAAGCTCATGACTAGAAGGCAGACTAATCTTTGTAACTGACATCAAAGAAAGCAGCATTATGGGTTTCTAAAAATATTTCAATTACCAACGAAATGAAAGAGGCCTCCACAAAGCCAGAAGAAACCTGCTTCTAACTAGAACAGTTCTTGTTTTGGAAAAGAGCAATTGTTATGCAAAAGCATAACAGCATCACTGTACCTCTTGTTTTTAAACTATATTAAATGTATCATTGCTAATTTTGTGCCTCAAAAGATAAGTAATTATTTCTCTAGTGTGATTCTAAGTAACAAATGTGAATGAAGGCTAAATGGCCTCATACATTTTATTCTTTGAGAGTAATAATTTAATACATACAATGTAACTCCAGGGATTAATGTACTTTTCACATTAGGACTGCTCTCATATCAGCACTTCCAGTAAATTACAGGAAAATGAGCCAATCTACCAGGAGTGCATTCTAAGTATTCCTTTGAGATTGTTCATGGAGATTTTTCAAATTTATAGTTAAATACTCAAGGTATATCATTACATCTTAATAGCTGAAAACCCATTAACATTCTGGGATAATAGCCTTCTTGTGGCAAACAAAAAGTTCTTCTCATTTGAAAAAAAGAGTACGCAAATACCTATAAAAAAGGAGGAGGGAAATTAAAATGTAGAAACAGATGTTGTAATAAAATGCCCAAGTTCTTCATAAAAGTTCTGAATCAAAATATATTCTTATTTTACAATAGCAATCCAGCTAAAAAATTATTTGAAATTATTTCAGTCCCTGTTATATACCTAATATTTTCAACACATGTTGTTTCTTTATTATTCTTTTACCAAAAGTGGAAAAGAAATAAAAACTCTCGCAGAGTAGGTATATTTGAAATAATTTTTGCATTTAAAAGTATCAGGAGATATTTTTCCATAAGTACAAAAATTACTTGCTTGACCTTTCAAGTAAAATTGAGCCTTGCTTTATCATTCCGTTTAGCTCCTCCTCACTTCCCTCCTGACTTTACCTGCATGTCTACTAGACTCTTATTTCCCTTTCTTCTAGAATCTCATTCCAGCAATCAACTCCACTGAATTTTCATTTTCTACCTCTCCATAGGCTATTCCCTCATCAGAATCTCACCCAGCCTAAAAAAAAATCTGCCTTCTTGCAGCTTTGCGCAATCTGTTTTGATGCTACCTTCCCAGTCATGGAGGCCACACTCCCTTTGCATCCTTGTCCTATATAGCAAGCCCCTGCTCAACAAAGTATTCCCTGAAGATGACCAGACACCACTCCTCTTTGCTTTCTGGAGTAAGCAATTGCCATACCTAGAGTGTTCTTGGCTTCCACCTCTCATATTCCCCTACCAAATTTTGTTCTCCCTCCCCACCCTGTTGAAGTACAATCACCTCCCCAAATCCTACACTCCTACCTACCATCCCTTTCCTCAAGAAACTGTGCATGTTAACATACATTTTGACTTTTTTTCATGTCTAATTTTTATTCTGAAACATAAACCTCTTCTGAATTAAAGTACAGTTGACATATGATATTGTATTAGTTTCAGGTGTAGAAATAGTAAGATTTAACATTTATATATACCTTACAAAGTGATCACCACAAAAAGTCCAGTATCCATTTGTCACCATATGAAGTTACTGTGATATTGATATTACTATTCTTTATATTGTACTTTACACTCCCATGACTTATTTACAGGTCTGTACCTCTTAATCCCCTTAGCCTTTTTGCCCATACCCCCACCACCCAACCCTCTGGCAATTATCAGTTTTTCTGTATCTATGGGTTAGTTTGTCCTGTTTACTCATTTTAGTTTTTTAGACTCCACCCCTAAGTGAAATGATATAGTGTTTGTCTTTCTCTGACTTAATTTCACTTAGCATAATACTCTCTAGGTCAATACATGCTGCGGCATATAGCAAGATCCATTTCTTTTCTGGCTGTGTAACATCCTGGTGCATTGTGTGCATGTACACACACAAATCCATTTCTTTATCCATTCATCTAGTGATGAATGCCTGGATTGCTTCAACAACCTGGCTAGTGTAAATAATGCTGCAGTAAACAGAGGTGCATATAGCTTTTTGAATTGTTCCACTTGGGGGCTTATCTGAAGAAAATTGCTGAGTCCTTCTTTGTCTCTTATTATATAGCCTTCGTTTTAAAGTCTTTTTGTCTTATATAAGTATTGCTATCCCAGCTTCTCTGTTTTTTTTTATTTCCATTTACTTGAAATATCTTTTCCATTTATTTATTTCCAGTCTCTGTGTGACTTTCAATCTGGAGTCTCATGTAGGCAGTATATATAGGGACCTTTTTTAAAAAAATCATTTAGTCACCCTGTTTTTGCAATGGAGCACTTAGTCAACTTCAACTGAAGTAATTATTGATAGGTATGTGCTTATTGTCATTTTAATTGTTTTCATACCACATTTTAAGTGGTCAGTCTATCATCTTTACTGTATGTTTGCCTTTACCAGTACATATTTTTTCATTTTATTTCTAGTTTTGGCCTTTTCCACTTAAAAAAATTCCCTTGAACATTTCTTGTAATGCTAGTTTAGTGGTGATGAACTCCTTTAATTGTTGCTTGTCTGAGAAAATCTTGATCTTTTCTTCTATTCTTAATGATAACCTTGCTGGGTAGAGTATGTGTGGTTGTAGGTTTTTCTCTTTCATCATGTTGAATATATCATGCCACTCTCTTACAACCTGCAAAGTTTCTGTTGAAAAGTCAGCTGACAGTCTTATGGGAATACCCTTGTGTGTAACTAGTTGTTTTTCTCTTGCTGCTTTTAAGATTCTCTCTTTATCTTTAACTTTCAACAACTTAATTATAATGTGTCTTTGTGTGGGTCTCTTTGGGTTCATCTTGTTTGGGATTCTCTGTGCTTCCTGGACTTGGATGCCTGTTTCCTTTGCCAAGTTAGGAAAGTTTCCAGCCATTATTTCCTCAAATAGGTTTTCTGTCCCTCTCTCTCTCTCTTCTCCTTCTGGGACCCCTATGATTCAAATGTTAGTACGCTTGATGTTGTCCCATAGGTCTCTTATGCTATCTTTATTCTTTTTAGTTCTTTTTTTCTTTTTGATCTTCCAGTTGGGTGACTTCCACTATCCTGTTTTCCTGATTGCTGATCCGTTCTTCTGTGTCATCAGATTTGCTGTTGATCCCCTGAAGCAATTTTTTCATTTCAATTGTTACGTTCTACAGTTCTGCTATGTCCTTTCTTAGAATTTTTAGGTCTTTGTTCAAGTTGCTGAAGTTCTGACTGAGCTTCTTCTTTTGTCTACACAGTTGAAAGAGCATCTTCATGACTGTTACTTTGAACTCTTCATCTAGTAGACAACTGATCTTAGTTCTTTTTCTGGGGGTTTATCCTGTTTTTCTATTTGGAACATATTCTTTCCTATCTTCATTTTACCTGTTTGTTTTTATGTACTGTATCAGGTAGTTAAGCTAAATCTCTTGGTCTTGAAAAAGTGGCCTTATTTTCCCATGGGGCCCTAATTTCAATGTCCCCCTAGTTACCAGAGCCAGGTGGTCTAGAGGGGGGAATAATATAGTCTCCTGTTGTGGCTGGGCCACAACTTCTTTGGACACACTAGCAGGCAAGGTTGCTATCTGGCCTGCTGGCTGTGAGGCCTGGCCACAATTGTTGCAGACTCACTGGAATGCAGGATAAGGCTTTGATGTGGCTGGCTGTGAAGCCCACCCCCACTGTTGCAGACACACTGCTGTGTGCTGGTGCTGAGTGATGCTGTCCACTGTGTGTGGCAGGGAAGGAAGTGCTTTGGAGGGGTGCTACCCTGGGTAGGCCCTCAGGGAAATGCCAGGGTGGGGCAAACCGTGTTAGCAAGGTTAATAGATAGTGTCAGACTACCCAGGTTAAAGGAAGGGGAAAAATGGTACCCATCTGCACCTGTGGCACAAGCAAGTTCCAACAGATCCCTGTCCCTGCAGCGCACACCCTAAAATTAGTCAATGTATCACCTTCACGTATGACCTAGCTGCTCTTCAAACTGCTCCCTCTGTATGAGAACTTGGAAAGACGGCAACCTGGGTTTCCTACAGCTCTTTGGCTCTGCCAGATATAAGCCTTGCTGGTTTTCAAAGACAGATGTTATGAGGGCTCCACTTCCTGGTTCACGTCAACCAGTTTAGGGTTCAGACACTTCACTCTCCAGGGATGACCTCCAAGGCTGTTATAACCTTCCCACTTGTGAGTCACTGCATGAGGAGTAGGGAGTAGGGTAGGTGCTGACTAGGCTTAGTCTCTACTCCTCCTACCCTTTTCAATGTGGTTTTTACTTTATATCTGTAGTTGTAGGAAATCTTTCTGCTAGTCTTCAGGTGGTGTCAGAGATAGTTGTTCTATATGTAGTTGCAGTTTTGGTGTCAATGAGAGAAGGTAAGCTGAGGATCTTCCTATTCTGCCATCTTGAACTTGAAGCCAGGGGTCTTGCTCTTAAATGTCAATTTAGCTTGTCCATGAAAACTCGTTTCCTATGGTTGGTGTACTGCCCCTGCAGAAAACGTGCCTCCACACCAGACCACCTGAGCCACTCACATTTTGACTTTTAAGGGTAGTAGAAATTGAGAGAAATCAGGCATCCAAAGAATAGTTTGAGATTACTTCATGGAGAGGCTGGTACTTCCCTTGGTCCTAGAAAAGTCAATAGACAAAAGAAATAAGCCAGGGTATTTTCTTTTCTTCATGAAAGTGACTAAACTTGTTATATAAATAATAATACCCTTCAATAAAGCCATTGACTCTCTCTGTGTAATGAAAAACAACAGATGTTAAAAATTTATCCTGCTGGTATTTGAGGTTGCTACCATGTAGTATTTCATTGATTAGGCTCTTTAAAAAAATGGTTAATAAAAAAAAAATCCCAAACACATACACACACAAAAAAGAAAAATCTGAATCAACTTAAATAAGGGTTAACTTAGTGGCTGTCTAAATTACCATATTCAAGGAAGTATAGTTTATCATTTTAATAGTATTGATGTAACTATTCCAACCCTAACAGATTCCTTCATTTACTTCTGAAAATTAATAGAACAAGGACAAAATATATTCTCTACAGCAGTTTTCACCACTCTGTCCCTGGTGGCAAAGAGTAAGACTATCTTTGAGCTCTATCCATCCAAGCCTGTTAACATCATCTTGTCTGTCATCCTAACTGGCAATCCTTTGGTCCTCTTCAGATGGTTCTTGAGTACACTCCCCATAGTTCCAATTCTAAATCTTTTCTTCTTTTAAGTTTCCAATTCCATCTCTCCTGGATCATTTGCAGATAATTATTTTATCTCCTCCTTTACTTAGGTGATTTTGAATCTCTGAAGCTCCACCATACCTCAAAGATCACTAGCTCTTCACAACTACTGCCTTCTTTTAATTCAAGCAAACAATAACCCTTTTCAGCAAAGTTAGTCCTCTTCCCCTTGAATCCTAGCTTTTGGGGTATGAAAGGGCCAAATAAATAGCACTCCTCTTGTCCATCCAAATTCTAAACATACTGAGAAATGAGAAGAGGATATGGCAAAGAGAGGCCAAAATATCACCATTTTTACTGATAAAGGCTAAACTGAAGAATATGGTTTAGCATGGGGGCCAAAGTTGCCTAAAAACCAAATCTACAAATTTGACAGATTTACCCATATGGTCATGGGCAATGCTGGCTCAGGTCAAAGCTCCTGGAAAGGCAGTTTTGTAAGACAGGGTCTAGAGAAGTAAAGAAAACAGCTCTCTGTGGTCAGGATTGATGTCCAAAAGTAAAATGGAGGAGATGAGCTGAGCAGAGCACACCCAGTTTCTTCTTCCCAAATTCACCAGAATAAATCACTTCATCTCCCTGAGGGTTAGAAGTGACCAGGAATGTTACAGTAATTAAGAAAACAAGAAAAGAAACATCAGAAATGGGAAAGAAGCATTCCCCCCAAGAATACCTGCTGCCACTAATTTGGAATCTTTTTTCATTTAACATTTTATCCCTTTCCATGTCTCCATCCTATTCCTTTCAACTACTGCAGGGATGCTGTCTTTAAAACAAACATTGCAATATCTATATATAAAAGCATTATGTTGTATACCTTACACTAATACAATGTTATATGTCAATTATATTTCAATAAAACTGGAAAAAATTTTAAAACCTGTATTTAGCCCTGTTGCCCATTTTAACTAGTGTTTATTTCACTAAATTTTAGAGCAGAAAAATTCCTTAAGGCCTACTTAGTCCAATTCTCTCTAGTTTTACAAATGAAGACAATGAGACCCAAAGAGGTAAAGCAATTTGCACAAGGTCACCCAATTTCTGATGCTTTTCCACTTGCTGATGCTTCTCCTTAGAATTCTCACCTCCAGCTCTCACAGCCATTTCCTTCATATTGCCCAAGTCATAAATCAAATGTCACCTCCTAATTTTCTTCCATATCCCATTCTACCTTTTTTAAAATCGTATTTAAGTTGTATGGACTAGAATCAGTTTGTATTGAAATGGCTTTGGGGAAAACAGGAGAATTTTTAAGCAAGCTCCAGAAGGTTTAGAAGAGCACCGGCATCTTTACATGCTTTTCAACCTAAGTTATGTATGTGTAAGTCTGTTATAACTTATTGCTTATTACACTTATTTTGTACTTGCCTTGAATTCATGGATGACTTAAACTTTTTTTCTGCCGTAACTCTCACTGAAATCAATCAGGGGCACAGTCCCAAGTTCAAGGAAGAGTTGAACTGTGGTTGCAAGCATGTATATGTGGCCGCATTGAAAGGCCTCTCTCATCAAATAGTAACCGTATTTCTAAGCAGTCCGTTGACTTCAGCACTTTTTGCTATTATTGTGCTCCAATTTAAAACACCAGCCCATCTTACTAAAGCATTTTTCCATTCTCTGTCATAAACCATAACATAAAATTCCCCCTTTATCAAACCCAATGGTTAGTTCCCAGTGGCTAACCATGGTTGCCTTTAAAATGTGGTGTCCACAATGGAACAAAACAGAGAGCCTAGAAATAAACCCAAGTCTCTATGGTCAGTTAATATTTGACAAAGGGGGCAGAAGCATAAAGTGGAATAAAAATAGCCTTTTCAATAAATGGTGTTGAGAGATCTGGACAGCTACATGCAAAAAAATGAAACTCTATCACCAACTTACACCATACACAAAAATAAATTCAAGGTGGATAAAAGAATTAAATATAAGTTGTAACACCATAAAAGCCCTAGAGGAAAACAGCCAGGAAGATCTCAGACATTTCACATAGCAATATCTTCAATGGTATGTCCCGTAAAGCAAGGGACATAAAGGAAAGAATAAACAAATGGGAATACATCAAATTAAAAAGCTTCTGCATGGCTAAAGAAAACAGCATTAAAATGAAAGGAGAACCAACTATATGGAAAATTTATTTGCCAATGACACCTTGGGCAAGGGTTTAATCTCCAAAATATATAAAGGACTCATACGACTCCACTCCAGGAAGACAAAAAAAAAAAAAAAACCCCAATTAAAAAATGGGCAAAGGACCTGAACAGACACTTCTCCAAATAGTACATACAGAGGTCCTAGAGGCATATGAAAAGATGCTCAGCATCACTAGCCATCATAGAAATGCAAATTAAAACCACAATGAGATACCACCTCACACCAGTCAGAATGGCCATCATAAAATAAACAAAGCAACAAACAACAAGTGTTGGGAAGGATGTGGAGAAAAGTGAACCCTAGTACACTGCTGGCAGGAATGCAGACTGGTGCAGCTACTGTGGAAAACAGTATGGAATTTCCTCAGAAAACTAAAAATGGATCTGCCTTTTGACCCAGCAATACCACTGCTGGGATTATATCCTAAGAACCGTGAAACACCAATTCAAACAAACCTATGCACTCCAATGTTCAGAGCAGCACAATTTACAATAGCCAACTGCTGGAAGCAACCTAAGTGCTCATCAGTAAATGAATGGAACAAAAAACTATGGTACATTTACACAATAGAATACTATGCAGCAGAAAGAAAGAAAAAGCTCCTACCCTTTGCAACAGCATGGATGGAACTGGAGAACATTATGTTAAGTGAAATAATCCAGGTGGTAAGGGACAAATACCATGTGATCTCACCTTTAACTGGAACCTAATCAACAAAAGAAAAAAGCAAGCAAAATATAACCAGAGACATTGAAATTAAGAACAATCTGACAGTAACCAGAGGGGAGGTAGGAGGAGATAATGGGGGAGGGAGAGGGGAAGGATTTTCAGGAACAATTATAAAGGACACATGGACAAAACCAAGGGGGGGTTGGAAGCAGGGGTGGGAAGTGGGGATGGCTGAAGTTGGGGGGGTGAGGAGGGTGTAAATGCAGATAACTGTACTTGAACAACAATAAAATAATTTAAAATAATAATAATAAAATAAAATATGGTATCTTAAATGCTTAAATGATTGTCTCAGCAACACCATTAAAGGCTTCGAAAGGTTTAACGCACAGTAGTATTTTTCTTAAGAAAGAAGGTGAGGGGGAAGAGTATTAAATATTAAACAGAGCCATGGTGTAGCAAAACAACTTCCCTGCCACTTTTAATCACCCAAACAGAAATGCACACATTCACAAATGTGTGAAATAGCCTTTGCAGAGCCATTCTGGATCTTTCCAAAGAAAATAATCTTATTCTCCTTTCAAGCTATAAAGCTATGTGAATCACTCACAAGGCCCTTTAACGTATCCTGCCTCATTTTATAGTTACCTCTATCTTCCACTGGTCTAGAAACAACTTGGGACTGCTGGTTCATCGTTATATTCATGATCATGTTAAGTAAAGTACACAGTACATAGTAAGTTTCCAATAAATATATGCAGAATTTACATCTTAAGGCATTTGTGATTTCAACATCTAGTTATTTACAGAACAGAGACTCTAGCTTGCATAGGTTCCAGTAGAAATTTATTACTTAACAAACATCTGCCTCCAGACAGCTCTAATTTTTTTCTTCACAGAACATACTTGGTACCTCTTTATCCCACATGTTTTATTTCAAGCAACTCAGGAGACAAGGAGATATTTTTGCATATATGCTTATTATACATTATTGAGCACACTGTGAGTTGTTACAAAATATTTAATTCTATAGATTACTTGTTCAGATGAAGACAGCTCTCTGCTCTTCCAAGAGTGTTCATTCTTTTTTTTTTAAAGATTTTATTTATTTATTTTTAAAGAGGGAAGGGGGGAAAAAGAGAGAGAGAAGCATCAATGTGCGGTTGCTGGGGGCCATGGCCTGCAACCCACGCATGTGCCCTGACTGGGAATCGAACCTGCAACACTTTGGTTTGCAGCCCGCGCTCAATCCACTGAGCTACACCAGCCAGAGCGAGCATTCATTCTTTAGTATACAGTGATTGTTCTTAACGACAGCTAGGCTGGTGCTGAAGTGGACTGTTTCTGGGCACAGTTCCTCACATTCAAATACAACCAGGGTAGAGCAAAAATAGGTTTACAGTTGTGAATATATGAAACACAGTTATTCTTGTGTTATTATTTTTAATTATTATATATTATCTTCCATAAGAGCAACTGTAAACCTACTTTTTTCCAACCCTGGATAGCCACAGGAGCATAGCTAATTGCTGTGAAATTTGAGAAAATAATTTCAGAGATAAAA